ATTTTTTACCCTATATTTTTATAGCGTATATTTTTTACCCTATATTTTTATAGCCTATATTTTTTACCCTATAGTTTTTAGCTTCCGTTTTTTTAGCCTTTTTTTTTTTTGTTTAGTATATTTTGCCTATTATTCTTTTCAGAGGTGCGCACACTTTCATTTCCCTGTCGCGAAGAGGCAGTTGCAACTGTCGTTCCTTTTAAGTAATCGACGCGTGGTCCCATCACGTGGTAGATTCATGTGTGCACATTTCTTTTGGGCCTAATTCGACAGCTCTGCAAGGGTGCGCCGCAAAGAGGGGTGACAAAAGTGTTAAGCTACACCTTAGGTGCGGGAGCATATTTACCTTTATGTGTATGTGTAACACCTATGTGTTATGCGGACCAGCTGGCTTTCGCATGGTTTTCCCTCTCTCCCCCCCGCCTCCCCCCCACACTTCTGACACACCAAAGGAACCAATCGCTCATTACCTAAAAAGGGTATTATGCAGAGAACAGCCGTCACACTGGAGCGCCACCAAGTAACAGCCATACCTGAGTAACGAAGATTTAGATCAATTAATAAAACTTGAAATAAGCAGTTGTGAAAACCCTCTTTGACATAAAGGCCAGACCTATTTTTTATTTTTCTGGAAAAATGTATATAAGGACGACAAAATTAAAGGGCTGCGGTCATTTTTTGAGGCCTTTTCGCTCCCTACTTATTCTGTTGCTTTGTATATTTTCGGTGAGATGGACATACATATTTATTATATATATATATATTTTTTTTTTTTATCCATAGGGGGGGAATTTTAATGCGTTGTGTGTGTGAGACTACACGGGTGTGCGCGTAGGAATATACATGTGGAAAAAATTGTGCAAAATAAAATGCCACGTCATACGTCATTTATATCGCTATGCGTGAATTTTTTTTTTTTTTTTTTTTTTTGTAGAATGGAGGGATCCGTGTAGATCAGGAATCCTGTAGGGAAGGACGCACAGTAGTGCACATTAACGGAGACCCGTTTTGTAAGAATTTCCATTTTGGAAGATTTTTAAGCGAAGATGTAGTTGAAACGGAGAGCCCTCCAACCAACGTGAAAGAAGCATTCGAAGGCTACCCACCAGAGGCTCCATACGAAATAACAAAAGAAGAATTAAGAACAAGGCTTGCATACTGTGGACGTTTATTTGTTTGTAAGAAAAGAGCACATGCAGCAATTTATGTGTATATTAATTATTTAAGAGCTCAATACTACGATATGATAAGGGGTTTAAAAAAGACATTTGATGAATTAGCATATGAAAATGAAATACCGGAGGAAGTCAAGAACAAGTATTGGAAAGAATGTGAAGCCGAACGCTTGAGTGGATTACTAGCAATGGAACATGTTGCTCAGAAGTACTTTGAGGGCATAATGAATAACAAAGTAATTTTAACACCACAGTTTAACTGGAGCTTAAGCGCGCATGAGTCCTTCTGGTTATCGGAGATGTTTGAGAAGGAGCTCAAGTGGAAGAAGATCTTCTTCGATTTGGCCAATAATTACGCAGTGGAAGATGAGGCCAAGTATTAATCGGGCAATGGGTGGTTCAGCCTTTACCATGCATGTGGCCATAGACAAAACATGCATTTATGTCGCATACGCATATACATGTTGTGATTTTATTAAACATAGATAGAGCAACGTCCAAGAGGATGTTTTTTTTTAAGGAAACCCCCTTTTCCTTTCTTTTTCTTTCTTCCCCGTTATATGTGTGTGCAAATTGTATGGGGATTATTTTTTTTTTTTTTGTGGGGAAAAGCGGTGAAAAGAAGGGGATATGGATCCCCTGCTCTGCCAGAAAATAACTCATTACATTTTGGCATTTTTCAATTTGTTCATTTATGCTCATTGGCAATTGATCTATATCCCCCCTAATCATTGTGCCATGTCGTATGCAGAATGATTATATATGTGTGTGTATATAACATGCATGTGTTTTTTTTTTTTTTTTTTTTTTTTTTGTTTGGCGCGCCCTTGTTTCATTTTAGCTGTTTTTTTTTTTTTTTTTTTATTAGCACAGAGAAAATGATTTGTATGTAGCAAACATGGCAAGCAAAAAGACTTGGCCATATTTCGCTCTGCACAGGAAAACAATGTGTTGCTTAGGAAATGTTATTTTTTTTTTTAAGCAGTTTTATATGTTTAATACAAATATTTATGTCGGTAAAAATGGCTGTTTATATTTTTCCACAAACTTTTAACACATATGGATTAACTTTAAAAAATTTTTTTTCGTTTCACTGGACAACGTTGTATTTCACATTTCAAAAGGGAATCTCCTGACATGTTATTTTTATATATAAATATACCACACACAGGAAATCCATATTAAAAGGTGTAAGCGGGCCCATTGTGAAATTTTCCCCAACCGATGATAATATGTAGCACATTTTACCATTTTGATAAAAGACAAAAATTTTACTTCCCGTTATTTTTACATGTTTGTAAAAATACACCATTTTCTGTACGTTCTAATAATATCATCAAATGGGGTAAAGGCAATGTGTAATGTGTTTTTATAAATACAACCCCCTTATGGGAATTTTTATAAAGCGTCAATAGGCGACTAGCCAAAAAGGAAGAAAAAAAAAAAAAATAAAAATAAATTATATTACTTTTTACTTGATATGATTAAATATTTACTTTTTTTTTTTTTTATTTTTGTATTACACACTTTTTAAAAGTGCTAAATATTTAAAGATAACCATTAAACAGTGTGTAACAGTTTTTACGAATTAAAAATATGAGAAATTTTAAAAGGTACATTTTCTCTTTATTATTTTATTTTTTATTTGTTCTGAAAAATAACTAATTAGTTGACAGGAGATACAAAAGTTGCATATAAATTCAGAGTTGCAAAAAGTTCCTGTAATTTCTTTACAGATTCTTTGACGGAAACGCATTATTTATAAATATTGTTAAAAATTATGCAATCTTCGCTTTCTTCCCTTTTTCATTTTTTTTTTTTCCCTTTTTTAAACATTTGTTATAAATGTTATGGATGTTCGTTGACCATAATAATTAAGGGTATATATATATATATTTAGCCTTATTTATATAATAATTTTTTTTTTTTTTTTGTCCCCATTTACCTATTTGTTCTTTGCGCCTATTTGCCTAATTCTTTTTTTTTTTTTTTTTCCCTATTTTATGTTTCTTTTTGCACATTTTGTATGCTTTCCTGTGCACATTTTCATTTAACCTTTATCTTTATTTTTGTATTTTTTATTTTATTTTTCTCTAGATTTTTTTTTCTCCGCAAGAAAAATGAGCTTATACACTTATCATACCAAGAGTTGCCAGTGCACACATATTTTTCCCTTTTAGCCTTTTTGCATTAGGGGCATAAAAACTACGATGAGAAAACAAAAACAAAAAAATAATAATAATAATAATAAATGCCAATTTAAAGAGTAACAGTAGCCAAGTGTCAGTCATCATATACTTTGCAGTTCCTTCTTTTCCTTCTGTTCCTCTTGTTTTTTTTTTTTTGTTTTTTTTTTCATATTATTAAAAAGGCGAACTATGTACATTTTTCACTTAAATATATGGAACCCAAACACATAACTTTTTAATTAATGAATTTTTTTTTACATTTTATTTTGAATTATCCTTTATCTTTAATTTTAACCAACCCATACATTTCAACAGAACGTATATATTTTTTACATTGTTATATGATACCCTCACGCGTTAAAAAAAAAAAAATGAGAAAAAATGCAAATTCGAAAAGCCAAGGTCCTGTAAGATACGTGATGCTGCTGTCCTTTATTTTCGTAATCTTAATATTATTAGTGAGTGAATTGATAAGAATTATAAGAAAAAAGAATAAGTGCTTTCTTTTGAAGAACACAGAATAAAGTTACCTCTGTGTATGTGTCAATACGGTCTCACTCATAAGAGGAGATCCACACTCATGAGAGTTGTTTGTTGTATAATGTAGTGTACAGTAGGCGTCTGTACGAAGTACCCATTTTACGTATACATATTCATTTAGCATAATTTGCTTATGTTGTCCTCCTTCATATGGTGGTCGATTTTTTCTTTTTTATAACTTTTTTGTTTTTTATTACTTCCTTTTTATTACTCCCCTTTTTATTACTCCCCTTTTTATTACACCCTTTTTAGAACCCTGATTGCTTTGTCCAATCAAGCACAGAATCCGAGTTGCAGTTACAAACGTGTGCACGAAAACTAGTGGAGTTATCACTTTACACAAATGAAGATTTATCTAGAAGACTTAAAAATGATAATTTGATTAATGAGCCATATGTAAACGGGAAGCTTTTGCCTTTCGGATGTCAAAAGAAGGATCTAACAAAAAAACTATCAAGGAGCAATATAGAAAATCTGTCAAATAACACAGGGTTTCTTTTTGCTGATAAGAAAAAGGCATACATTGTTTTTCATTACTTGCATGATTACCATAGAACCAAATATGATAAGATGATAAATCACTTATGGTTAGATTTTACAAAGTTAGCAGAACAAATTGGTATGCCTGCTGAAGAACGATTGAAAATTTTAATGGACTGTCATTCAGCACTTATGAGAGATTTTGATACCCTAGATGAAGCATATCAAAATCGTTTCTTCTCCATGGCCCAGAATAAATTAATGTTGCAAGTAACTTTCCGAATATTTCTCTCCAAATTTATGTGGTCATGTGATAAATTAACAAGAGTAAATAAGAGGAAGTGGAAGAAGACTTTGATGAATGTTATAGAATCGTACAAACCGTAGTGGAGAGAAATGGCTCTACCCGAAGCCCGCTCGAAATGGATTCATATTGTTGGTTCACGTATGGGTTGCCCTATATGGTGAGACCGTACACCCATGCGAGCACCAATGGGGCCACGGTAACGAACGCAACAACGAAAGCACAAATAGGTGTAACAAAAAAAATAGACACAAATGGAAGAGCGAATTGATGAGAAGTTCCCCCCCACCCCCCTCCCCCCACAATGGGCGGTATATAATTTATTAAGCTTAACAAATAAAATAGCTAGCACTTTAGGAAGTTTTAAAAAGTAAGGGGAGAAAAGACAAAACAAAAATAATGTATTATAAAATGATACAACATTTATCAGCACCAGTTACAGGTATATATATGTGTGTATGTATACTACCCCACCTCTCCCCCCAAATTACTTGTCAAATGATTTAAACAAGAAAATACATTTGTAATAACTACTTTTTTGAGAAGAATTTAATACAAACATTACACATTTTTGTTTGATCTTTTAAAGTTAAAAGAATATTATTCTTAAAGATTGTTTGCTTACATGAATTACGAAAATGAAAATGAATAAAAAAAAAAACATTGCATTTTTGTAAATTCTTGTTTGAATTATCTTATTTTATTTGTTAAATTTTTGTGTCCTATGCGCAAATAATAATAATTTGTATAAACATGTACTTCTTGTCATATTTGCTTCCATTTATATATATTTGTTTTTTGTTATTTTTCCATGAAAGAATGGAAAAGCGTAAAAGCCCCTATTCGTGCTTTTTCTTTGCACCTGCAAAAGTATAAATTATAGTGTGCAATTTTCACCAAATTCATCATGATGAAAAAAAAATATAGCAATTTTTTTTTTTTTTTTTTTTTTTTCATCATTAAGAATAAGCGAATTTCGCTTTATACGCAAAAAACAGAGTAAAGAGGGTAAGTGTGTGATACCTACAAATTAGTTCATACGTACGTGTGCACAATAGACGAACGCTTAAAATGCGTTCAATGCTGTTTAATACATAAATTATATACACGTGTATATGTATTATATATATATACCTGTACATGCGTACTGTACGAACGTAGAAGATACATACCATCCTTGCCTTAACTTTTGTAATCATTTAAAATTATTCATCTGTGTAATTTAAGGAGAACACACACACTATTATAAAGTGAAACAATATTTTATGTCCAAATTAATGTTACACTTAACAGTTGTTTTATCCTTAGTGCTTCCCAAGTTCTTTAAGGTAAAACATTTAAAAAGTCAGACGGTCAAGGGAAACGGTTTTTCACATTAGCTAGTTACACATACTCCATATATATGTAACGGGTTGATAAATATAGACTCATAATGATTAAAAGGTGGAAATGCATACACACATCACCTCATCTCCAGTGACACGAATTTGGACAAAATAATAACCTTTTATATTTATGCAAGAACTATTTATTTTATACAATAACCGTTTCGGTTCCTCAAGGGTAAAGGAAAAGTATATATATATATATAATATTGTATTTGAGGACCCTTTTCCTGACCCTCACACATTGTATACGTTCTGTTTGTATAAGGTACTCAATTGGTGTTCGCTGAGGGGAATTAAATGACTTATATCCGTTTAAGCACACTTTACACTTCCCTTCAGTGCGAGCAGCCAAAATAGCTAGCCGGAAAAATGGCTAGCCACACACATAAACTGCGCACATTTACATATCCCCCTAACAGAGTGACGCCAAACACATAATGTCATTCGAACAAATTATGAGATCATAAAAGTAGGCATTAAAATAAGTCCACATGTTTTATATCTTTACCCCATTTTGAACAGCCATAAAAATATTCACCTTAAAAAAAGGGAACAGATAATACAGACACCTCGAAATATACCACCGTAGGAAAATAAAAAAAAAAAAAAAAAAAAAAAAAAACGCTGATTTTTACACTACCAAGTCAGCTAGCGAAAAGTGTACAACGAGGGGATAACAAGTTGCATGTTTTTCATATATACATACATACACATAAATAAATAACATATAAAATTACATAAATGTATATATGTATATGTATATATATATATTTATTTACTGTGCTAATTTAGAAAAAGGGAAAGGATGCAACTTAAGTTGTCTTTGAGAAATTTTGACTCCAAAATTTGCTGCGCTTTTTTTCATTTTTCAAAACGAAAATAAACATATATATATTTTATAACATGTACATAAGTAAACATGTGTAAATATTTAACCCTTTTTCGTCGAGGTAGGTAAAGTAATAAAAGGGGGTGTGGTGGGTTTCTCTAATGTAGGAGTTGAGGGTCAGGAATAAACGAACCAAGAGAAACCACGACCCATAATAAAGGAGAGTACAAACGAAAAGTGACGAAGCGGTTAAAAAAGAAATGTAACTCGATACTGCTGAACAATTCATTTTACCCCTTTTGATAAATGTGGTAAATGTTAGGTGGTCATTAGGAAGAATGGTATATAAAACTCACCTCAGGTTAAATGAAATATAAGGCGATAAAGGTAGGCATCTATATAAAGCTACCTAAATGTATATATATACGTACATATGTGTACATATATTGTACATATTTGACGGGTACATATATTCCTAAGGCTTGTTAAAAACAAATAGGTCAGGAGCCGCATCTGCCTTAATACGAGAAAAAAAGGGGCCGAAAATGTTATTATAATCGAAAGTAAGAACGAGCCCCAGGTAGGTGGGTTTAGGTCATTTATAAAGGACCTAACATAATCTAATAGAAGCCGATAAATACAAATTGTGTATAATACATGTTTTTTCAAATGGTTAAAGGGGAACGAATTTTTTGTTTTTTGTTTTTATTTTATTTTTTTTTTTTTTTTGGCACCAGTCCTACTTTTTGAATATATATATATGATTTTGTTTAGTTTAAAGATTTTTTACTAATTTGATATATGATCCATTTGATGCTATTTTTTCTTTTTTTTTTTTTTTTTTGTTTTTTGCTAATTATTATACATTATGGCTGAATTTAAGATTTTCTGTACAAAATAATTTTGTGGTTGCATAAAACTAGATGTTTGCAGTTGGCGGCGCGGTAGCTAGTATTTTTGCGTCTGTACAGATATATATATGTAAAAGGCATGTTTTTCGTTCTGTTGTTCGTCGATTATATTTTTTTTTTTTTTTTTTTTTTTTTTTTTTTTTTTTTTTGTTGTTGTTGTGGTTTTTTTGTTTTTTTGGTTCATTTTCTTTTTTGTATACTTTGTTTTTGCTTATAGATTTATGTATATTTTACGTTTTCTTAAATTTTACTTTTTTTTCTTTTTTTTTTTTTTTTATGTCCATTACTTAGACGTTGTTATGCATGCCTCCTTCGTGTTATGAGTTTTTCCTTTCTTTTTTTGTATTTTATTTGATATAAAGAAGACAAGTGGATTTTTTAAGAACAAATAAATTGTCCTAGAATGTATAAGTTTTGTAAACAGGGTTTGTTGTAAAAGGGCGTTTTATAAAAAAATTTCAACACGCATCTCCTCTCTACATTCGTCACAAGGTACTCATGGCAAGGATGTACGTTACGAAAAAATTGCCCATGTTGGGCTTCACCAGTGTCCTGTTTATTGTGTGGATCTGCATTTTTTTGGTAAGGCAGGAATATATGTATTTGAAAATTTTGTGAAAAGGGTTTCTTTTTTTTTTTTTTTTTCACTGCCCGAAGGGGTGTTGTTCGTATGCCTAACCAGCGTTAATTTGTAAGTCGGTGCAAATCAGCGTTTTTGGTCAGTTGTTAACCTTATCAAAGGGGGTTGCACGCATATATATATATATATATATATATATACATAATGTATATATTTATGTATGTACCCATTTCACCATTTTTGCAGATTCATCATAATTGTAAACAATGTAACATTTTGGAAGAGTTAGGGATAAGGTGCTACCAGCCTAGAAGCCTGTCTGAAGCAACGAACAATAAGGATGATTCTAATGATAATAATGATGGTGCCCCCACAACAGTAAATGAAAGTGAGTCTCAAAATGAAACTAATAGTGCTAGTCATACTAATGATTGTAATAATGTTAGTAATATTGATATTTTCCATACACAAAAATATGAAGATTTTTTATCCAAGATGAAGGATATCAATTTAGGTGACCAACAAGTATTAACAGCGCAAGAAATAAATAAGCTACTGGATTCCCTTGGTTGTTTTTTAAATAAAAAAAAAGCAAGGTTGATTTTTTATCACTACAATAAATTTATGAAGAAACTGTATCGTAATTCAATGGATAGACTGTGGACAGCATTTATCTCAGCAGCACTACAAAAAGGAATTCCTCAACCAGTGCAATTATATTATTGGAAAAAATGTGATGATGACATGATGGCGTATTTTGTTGACATAGACGGAACCTTTTTAGATAAATTTCGATCATATTTACCGAAAGGAAATATATTATCAAGCATGAAATTTTTTTCATGGTTAACTAATTACAAGAACTTATGGATGAAGGAATTAGAAGAACATGAAAAGAAATGGTCCAATAGTCTAAAGGAAAATTTGGATAATTGTGTAAAGTGGTAAACATAAGGGAAAAAAAAAAATATATATATATATATTTTTTTTTAAAATACTTGTCTGTCCCTCGTTTTAAGTAGTTCCTACTTTTAAGAAAAAGTGGGTATATAAAGAAAATATTTCGACTTTGTTTTTTTTTTTTTTTTTTTGTTTTGTTTTTGCCCTGATTGAATAATGTGTGTGTAAATGGGTGTTAGTAGCAACACCCCACAGCCGTTAATACGTGTTATATATTTGTGCTCTTTTTGTTTTGTCTTTGTCCTGATTGAATAATGTGTGTGTAAATGGGTGTTCGTAGCAACACCCCACAGCCGTTAACACGCGTTATATATTTGTGCTCTTTTTGTTTTGTCTTTATTTTTGTGCATCCCAGCATCGTTATTTGTGTGTAGCCAATTTATTTATTTATTTATTATTTATTTTTTTTTTTGTTGTAAAACAAAAGAATCTCACATTTCAATGTTAATGATAATCATAATGATACGATAATCATAATGATAATGGTGAGGCCCGCAAAGGGGCGGGTAACTCCTTATGGGGATTAAACGCGGATGGGGGCATTTTCCAAAACTATAGGAGTAGTGTTATATGCCAAGCTCACGGAGATAAGCAGCGATTGGGGGGGAGATATGATGAATCGTGTCAACTCCAAATGAACAAACGTAATGTGTATTTTAACGGACCGCAACAATTTGATGTTAGCATGTAGAGCTTTTCACAAAAGAACGCATGTGTGTGCATCAGAGGGGAAAAGCAGCATCGTTCCACGCAATACGCGTGTGTATCCCCCGCATGAGAAAGCCAACAAAATCCGATTTTTATTAAGTTCTTTCTCCACTTTCCACTTTGAAACATCTTTATATATATGTACGCCGATGATACGACTTCCATATAAAAGGGGTGTGACTGTGGAAAGGAGCGAATAAAATATTTTTATGTATGCTAATACTCGTGTATAAGTTGCGTTTTCTTTCGTGCCTTGCCGCGCGTTCATCACCTTTCTGTGATGATAAAGGGATCTATACATTCCACCATTCCGCATGCGTGCGCGCGCGGTGCAACCCTGAACCCAAAAAAAAAAAAAAGAAAGAAAAAAAAAGAAAAAAAAAACTGCCCAAGAGGTACGTTCACATTGGAACAATAATAATGACCCTTTCTACAATTACTGCTCAATTGGATATATCTTCCTATTTTTTTTTTTTTTTAAAGTATTCTGCTCCTGCTAGCCTATTTTTTTTGTATATGGAAATTCTAATTTTGTTGATACGCCTTTTTAATTCAATGACTAGTACAAATACAACTAAAATAATATATTATTAATAAAGGCACATTTTGCAACCTCCACAATATTTGTAAGTATATTATATATGTATAATAAATCTGACCTGTGCATTAGCTTTGGTGACGGGAAAGCTCTCTTTCCATCCTGTGTATGTATTTTTATTTCTACAGTGCACAGTTGAGGATGGCACGGTTGGAGCTGTTTTTGTTCGTTGCTATATAGTTTTGCACAAGGAAAAAAAAAAAAAAAAAACATTTTCTCTCTGTATAATATGTTCTTATAAATATATGCCCCTTTTTGGTATTTTAAAACTGTGTATAAAATTTTTTTTTTTTTTTTCTACTTTTGCTTATTTGAATTCACCAACTTGGCTTTTTACATAATTTTCCGTTACCCTGTTATATAGAGAGCACAAACTTTTATTAGAATATTGTTTAAATAAACGCATATAAATAAAAAATAAGCTTTTTTTTTAGCCTAATTATATATTTTCTGCTCCCCACGCCTGTTTTATACTTCCAACGCAACTAATATTTTTACCAAAATGTTTAGCGCTCCACGAGTATTTTTTTCTGTGTTCACTCTGATGAACATCGTACTGCTGGTAAGAGGAGGAGAGAAAAGAAAGCAATCTTTTTTCATGTGACGCATAAAAATAAAAGGGGACAAAACCCCCCTTTTCTCTTTTTTTTTCGCCATACATTGTTAATACGAAGACTTAAATCCTGCCAAACGCATAACTCCTTTTTTTTTTTTTATTTTATCTTCTTAGAATGGTGACCTCCCAAGCCAAAATGCATTATCCCTAGGAGGTGCAGGACTCAAGGCCTCTAGACAGTTGGCTCAAGCCACATTAGACGCAGATGAACATGATGCCGCACATGATCTGAGCAACAGTTGGGATGATAAAGATTCGAATGAAGGGGAACAAAGTGAAGTCTCCAGTGACGCCACTTCCAGTTCAGAAAAAGAAGAACAGGAAGAAGACAAGGAAGTAGAAAAGGAAGAAGAAAAGGAAGTAGAGAAGGAAGTAGAAAAGGAAGACGATCATAAGAATAGTGAGGACAATATCAATGATGATCGAGATGATGATGACGATTACCCAGGGTTAGACATAGCAGGCCTATTAAAGGAACATTTGTTTGTAGTACCAAAAGAAAAAGCAAAGCTCCTATTGGACGAATGCAACAGAATACAGGTATTAGATTCTGACAGAGCGGTAGAAAACTTATTTGTGGAGCTATATGACTTGTCCCTCAAATATGAATTAACAGAGGATCAGCAAATGGATATATGGTCTGAATTCCTCGATGATATAACTACTCATGTAACAGACATGAGTGATTATTTCAATGACATTTATGAGTTTTACATGAACGCAAGTACCGTCGAGACTGTTTTCTTTGTTCACTCTTTAATTAACTTTCTGGACTTGTGGACAAGAAACATCGAACTAATTGAGAAGAATTGGTCTGCGCTTTTTGCAGAGAAGGCTGCGGCCTATAAAGATGCCACTCCAGAGGGTATGTTGGGCAAAGCAGGAACGGAATTTACCCAGGAGGCAGAAGTCAGTACTGCCGCTTCGAGTTAAGCAGGAAAGAAAGGCGTATGCAAAAAAAAAAAAAAAAATGAGCCATACTTTTTTGAAAAACAAATTAAATTGGACTTTCCTTTCATATTAGAAAAAGTGTACCCTTGTCTTCTTCATATCACAACGAAGACACATCATTACATTGTGTTGCCAAGGTACCGCTGTTGTTGTCCCCTATTGCAAATGTGCACCGACGAGGAAATGGACCGTTTGTTGTGCATCACACTGTAATGTCAGTTTTTACCTTTGCCCTTTTTTTTTTTTTTTCTTTTTTTTACTTTTTCTGCTATGTTAAAAACTTGCCTCGAGACACATTTTCAGGGGGGAGGATCCGCTCTCACTTTATTTTACTCCGTTGATTAGAAACTTAAATTGTGAGTACGCCAAAACAAAAAAAAAGGGAGTCCGAGTTAAAGGGCATTTTCCCTAGACTAATTTTGCCGCCATGGAACGCGATTTCTACTTGAACCCTAAACCAGATTTGTTCAAAATAGAAATCAATTTTTGACATTAAAATGTATAAAAGCAACTTTTGAGGACCCTCTTGTTATTTATTGTTGCGCCTCTCCCGTAACAAAATAATTTCTCCCCCACTGCAACTTATGATAAATGGAAAAATAAATTGAATTATTTTAAGCGTTGAAGAAAAAGTGAGGCTGCCAAAATGTGGAGGGTACCATATCTCGATATTTTCTTCTCAAAATGATAAAAAAAAAAAAAAAATTATACAAGTTCATCAACCGATGTGTCAACAAGAATTTTACCATCCTACATTTTTAGATACATTTTTTTTTTTTGGTGGGCGGAATCCCTCATTCATTATGGAGGGGCGGAAAATAAATCGGTTCATCTTTACACCAAGGTGTGGAATAATTTTTTTTTTTTTTTTCCGCCTTTGTGCATACTTGTACCATTAATAAGGGACAAAATTAAATGGACGCAAAATTGCTAAGCGGTCGGTCCAAGTGACGATTTAAAAGGAAAAGAAAAAAAAACAAACAAAAATTTGAGAAAAAAAAAAATATATATATATATATTTTTTCATCTTACACAAAATTTTTGGAAATAAAAAAAAAAATCGTGATAGGGCAACACAATTAAATTTGTGTGTCTATCTCCTATCAGCTGTATTGAACAAGGTTGTCTCCTTTTTTGTCATTTTAAAAATATATACTCAACTGAGGGACTGCTCACTTAAAGGTACGTTGTGGCGCACCAATGGGGGGAGGGCCACACGACATCACTGTAGAGTCGGTTGACGATCGTGGGGTGGGGTTTCCCCCCACTTGCAGTTGTGCGCTGCCGCCAGGTGGGGACACGAACGAGAGTAGCAAAAATGCTAGTGATGATGGAAGCAGTAATGGGAGCATGGCGGGGAGCAGCTTCTCCAGCGAACAAATGAATGAGGCTTCTACGTGGGAGGAGGACAGCACAACAAACTCAGATAGGGAAAGCAAATGGAGTGGCAAAGGTCCGGAATATCATCGTCCTCCCATTTGCTCGCGAGATAACTCCATTGCTGCTTTAAAAAGGTTAATAAATAATTCTTTACAAAAGTTGACGCGCATGAATGGCCCGGGCTGGCACCATGGACTCCATGCGAACGGTGTTACTATGCAAGGGAAGCAACCAAAGGGGGTCCTTCCAATGGCACACACAAATATAAATGGGGAGAGAAAAAAAGGCATCAACGAGAAGAAAAACACGCAGAAGAAATACTATACGCAAAAAAAAACAAACAGAGGGAAAAATAAAAAAGAAGCTAATTATCCAGCATTGGATGTACAGTCAATTATTCGAAATATGGAAAAGGCAATAAAAAACGGAGAATTGATACAAAGCATCAACAGGTCCCTTTTTCGACAGAGCAGTGAGGAACGGATGGCACACAACAGGCATACACAGGTGCACACGCCGACGCGGCGATACCAAGCGGTTAACAAACTGAAGGAGCGTCCCAACCGCAACGGAGTCAACTCGACGGGAGGAAAAGCGGAATGCCGTCCGAGAGCACAACAGAATCGTCAAAGCAGCCATCCCACTAATTACAAGAGGCACCTCGTGACGGAGGGAAAAAGCTGTCCATTGGGGGAGGTACAATGTGGGGAGCCACCAATGCAAAATAATTTTCCGCACACACGTGGACAGTTAAGCAAGATGAATTGGACACCTGGACACAACCGCGTGCAACGGTGTGGTGAACGAGGTGAACTTTTTGAACCCTCCATGACGGCACCCCGGCACCTACTCCTCATCAGTGCAGAAGCGGCACACGAATGGGACGACTACCACCGCGTGGTAAGTTACGCCACTCCTCCGTTGCATCCTCCGCACGATGGTTGTACCGTGTCGCGAAGAAGGGAAGAGGTGTATACAAAGGGGTTCCCATGGTGTGGCGGGAGAAACTACAATCACATGGCACAAAAGGGGGTGGACGAAACGGACAAAATAAGCACACACTTGGAAGGTATGGAATTTCGCATCAGAGCTCCCATCAACATCGCATGCCCCCACTCGTACGTCATGCGAGAAGAAGAAAAATTTCTGTTTCGATCAGTAGATCGGGGCTTCTCTCAAGTGTCAGATCACAACTGGAGAGGAGTCACAAGAAAAGGCATACACACATGGGGAACAAATTTTGGCAAAAATTTTGCACCGAATGGACTACCCAATGGATTACACCAAGCACAATTCTCATCACAACATGGGTGCCTTTTAAAAAAATGTTTAAGTGGAGAAGGGACAGCAGCAGCAGCAGCACCACCACCACCACATGATGCCCACACAGATGTGCAGAGTAAAGAAAGGACAAGTATTCATTCGAAAATGAAAAGAAATTCAAATGAGGAAAATAAAACCATGAATGAGTTAATTACGATTCATAAGTTGGTGAAGGATATGCAAAACGTGCAACTCGTTATTAAAGAATTAACAGATACTACATTGCTCAGTAGTGGTCACACAGGGGTGAGCAACCACAGGGATCCAAACACAACTGAACATGAACAGGCGCACTCCGACGGGGGAAATATCATTTCACTTTTTTCTCCACCTGCCCATGGGGGGCCAAGCAAAAAGAGCTCAACGTATGATGGGAATGACTCAAACAACCATTTGTCCTCTGGCGACGTGCAGAAGTACGAAGAAAAAATTGCAAACCTTGTGCAGGAACTGATGAACACTAAACTCCTCTTAGCACAGAGTGAAACAAAAAGGGAGGAGGATATTAATGAGATGAATCGGAGGTGCGGAAGTTAAATACACCATCTACAATTCGGAGATACAAAAAAAAAAAAATGACTTATGGGTGGGTGAAAGCAGCACACCATATACACGCGAAAGAGTATTCGGCAGATGCTACTCCGAGTTGAGCACATATAATAGGGACACAAAAATATGTGCCCACCTACAACCGCCTTAAGCACTTCCCCATCGGTACGAAACATAAAGGAGTTCGCGTAATGTAGAAAGGGGGGGGGGAAGGGGCGCGCCTGTCGTAGATCCACATAATGTGGAACACCACTTTGCGAAATTTGGAAGCGACAAATGGGTAAAGGCAAACAGGCACGGGAAAAGGGAAAAAAAAAAAAAAGTTCATATGAGCATATAGCTCCCAGTGCATATGTGTATTTTCTGTGCCACATATAATAGGCCTAAGCATTTCGCCCATTAATGGCACATAAAAATGGCCTAAAACGGATATGTACACATATGTGTAATGTCAAGGGCGCAGAACGGTATATGCATCGTTGCACTTTGCTGCTCTCCTTGAAGTGTTCCTCTGACCAAGTGGTCAACGAAAGTAACAAAACGAGGAAGCACTTTTCTTCCCCTCAGTACTGCCCAAATGGTACAACTATGTATGCATTTTTGCAAATGCGCTCATGCGTTCACCATCTTCTGTAATAAGTCCCTTCTCCAACCCTAATGATTTTCCCCCACCCCTCCTGTTGCCCACACGCCTAATGCGGTTACGTGTGCCCAATGGACACTTGGTGTACATGTACTCATTCTGCAAAACGTTTTGAAGTGTTTTTTTTTTTTTTTTTTCGCCTAGAATAAAAAGGCCTCCACTTTGAACGCAGCGTGGGTTGACCAACACACATACGTGTTCAACCATATGCATGTGCAAGTATGTGAAATGATATGTAACTCGGGATGAAGGCCACCAACACAATGGTCCCCCTCGCCTTGTTCACACCCCCATGGGGTTATTACTTTTCCAAGTGTTGACACTTTTCTTGTGCCAATTTTCTGCGCAAAAAAAAAAAAATTCTTCAAATAAAACCACGCACAGAGGTAATACTGGACTGACGATGTGAAGAGGTTTTTACATTTATTATCAAACCCTATTTTTGTTTTATTTTATATATATATATATATATATATATATATATATATATATATATATATATATATATTTTTTTTTTCTTCTTTTTTGGGAATACCTTGTACGCACGCGCGTTCATGTTGCCCTTGGGGCACCGCTGAGAATAACACTTTGAAGAAGCAGCAAAAAAGAAAAAAAAAAAAAAAAAAAGTGCGACCAAAATTTACCTCCACATTGTACATAATATACATATTTTTCCGTGTGGATATTTGCCCTAGCCCCTTCGAATGGAAAAATATATATGCGCACAAGGGATTACAAGATTTAAATTGCAAAAAAAGGGAAAAAAAAAAAAAAAAAAACATGCAGAAAAGGCAAGCAGTAACGAACCCACACTATAAATTGACATGCATTTTCAGGCGTACATTTTGTTATTATCGTAATAGCAAGACGTATGTGATATATATATGTGCTTGTTGATCACAGCTCCTTGCCTGCACAAAAAGGACTAGTTTTTCACGAACCCATTTATACGCGACTGCGCATGAGAAAATGGTACAAGGCAGCAAACAATCGTTGACGAAATATATATATAACATACCAATGCACATGTACCAATTGAAAATACGTGAGTGAAGTTTAAGATTTTTTTTTTTTTTCCCACCGGCAGAGTAGTGTTACATTTGCCAGCTTTTGTTTCTTTAAAACACCTTTGCGTTGTGTAGCTCTCTCTCTTCCTATAAGCTTCACTTTTTTTTTAGCAGAATTCTTTCCCCCTGTGAGTTAATTTCTGTTTCCCATACTGAACCCTAAACCACCAACGCGTGCTTGACGGTTGACGCGTCCTGACTGCCAAACGTATAAATATATTTATTCATACCTATATAATTTTCCCCACACAAACAAACGAACGACGTGTACTTATGCGCGACGCCAGACAAAATGGAGTCACCGAAAGATGAGGCCCCCGAGAAAGTGGAGGAGGAAGCCACGAACAAGGAAGAAAAAGGGGGAGCAAAAAATGAGAAAAAATCAGGAAATGCAAAAAAAAACAGAAGGAAAAATTCTATGAGGAAATCCAAAAAAAAAGCATCCTTATCTTCGAAAAATGGGCAAAAGAATTACAAAAAAATGCAAAAGGGCAATCCTGCCAGTAGCCCCAATTCATTACCCATTTGTCCTCCACCCCCCCCTCCTCCTCCACCACCTCCCCCTATGATGAGAGATGGAGAGGACAGCTATAAATTCCGAAATAATTCAAACATGGGCTTATTAAACGTGTGCCCAATTCCAGGAGGCTCTGCTGGCGGCATGCCCAACTCCATGCCACCACCAAATCATCAAATGATGAACAACCCACCCAGTTACCATCACAATATTAACATGGGGGCCCCTCCCCCTGGCAGTGCACCCTTACCTCCTATGAACCCCAGAAATGTTCCACACAATCCAAACATAAACATAAAAACGCCAAACGTCAATCTGAGCTCCATGCCTAATTGCAATTTGCAAATGAACTCTTCCAATTTTCAGTCAAACATGTATTATAATAATAATTCAAAAAAGAATTATAAAGTGAATAACGTAATGGAAAATGAATCCTATGCGTCAGCTCCTACGTTGAGGCCAGCTCCTCATCACCAGAACAACAATGCCATGAGCATGAATGTAGAAAAAAGGAACATGTTGATATCCAATAATTATATGCACCAAAGTGGTGAGTACACTACTACCTACATGGACATGCAACAGCAACAGAGTAGTGGAAGCGCGAAAAAAGCGCTCCCTCCTCCGAACATCAAGCAAAATTACACTAATATGCCTCTCTCTCCCAATCCAAATTATTATGTGTACAAGCCCCCGGGAGAAGCGGGTATGGAGAGGATCGGCTTTTCCCTGTCTTATCGTGCAGTTGGCGCGCATCTACCCATGGCATATACTTACATACCTGTGTTTGCCACACTAAGTTGGCGAACTTCTACTAACTTTTGCTTCCTCTCCATGCCCCGTTTCGCAGCTTTGTCTAAGCTTCCCACAAACGAATATGTCGACGATAAACAAATGTACGGGACTTATCCCAACTCCATTGAAGATAATAGTATGCCCAAATATTATCAACCCAGAGCTTATGGCAGTGATCCAAGTAATACAGCTATTGGATAACCCCACCAGTCATTCGAATGAAACGACTTTTGTGTGTGTGTGTGTAACAACTTAAAATGGACGCAATGTGTGAAAGTAGTGTGGTATAACAACCATCATCATGGTGATCATTTTTTTTTTTTTTTTCGCGCAGATAACAATATGTGGGGAGGCAACACCATGGGGGCGTCCATTCCCAATGCCCCATATGATAGCAGCGTAGCGAATATGAAGTATCCCACGTGTAATAAATATTTCTTTCCGCAGCGTGCATTTAAAATTGTGCGAGTATAAAGTGCGCCTGCGTAGGGGCGCGTAGCCCGGCGATTGGTATCTGATCGAGTCATCATGTTTATCCTTGACCTTTGCACTATCTTTGCCATTACGTTACCTTTATTTCTCCCCTTTTAGATGATCAAGGTTCAGATAAAATGAAATTCAACAAGTACAAGGACAAAATGGGGAGGATGTCCAACCAGCCCTATGACAGCAGGCCGCACAACATAATCGTCACGAATGTGAGTTTTTTTGCGTTGTGTGTGCATTTAGTCCTCCTTACCCACCCATGGGTGCTTATTTGTGTATGCCCATGTAGTTTACGTGTAAACGCATGCCCATATTTTTTACCCGCACTGCAGATCCCTAAAAACCTAAGTTCTAGGGAAATTATGGAGACCTTTAGGTTCATGGGGAACATTCTTCGAGCCGACATTATGTTGACCAGCAAGGTAGGAATATTTGGAGCCATCACAAAATGGCTACAACATTTTTTTTTTTTTTTTAGTGAAAGTGACAAATTGGCTAGCTGACTTTTCACAAATGTTTTTTTTTTTTTTTTTTTTTTTTTCTTCAGGGCGAGCACTCAGGCTGCGCATGCTTAACCTTTCCGGATTTCGAATCGGCCTCCTTCGCAGCTAGTAATAAAATAAGAATGAACGATTGTACAGAAAAAAAGTCATTTGAGGAGAGCGAGAGCACGAAGGACGTTTCACCACTCATTCGTGTGAGAGTATATGAGTGTCCATGAGTTGCACACAAATCATGTGTACTGCCCGTACATTGCTCGTGTGGAGTTCACCCTTTGAAATTGCCCCTTTTTTTCCCCCTCCTCCCTCTTAAGGTCGTTATGATGGTGGAATGTTGAACAACCAGAAAATAAAGATGTTTGTAGAATAGGGTGTGGCTTGCGGAACCTTGCGTGTGTATGTGTGCATATGTGTATGTTTTCGTGTGCATGTACATGTACGAGCGGCATGGGCACTGGAAAAAGCGCCAAAGGTGCATGTGATTGAAGCCGGCTATCAAGAGGGTCAAGTACCCTTCTCCCTACAGCCCCGTGGAGGTAGTTTTTAACACCACACGCACACACACTCTCCCCGTCTTGCGTGTAACTCGGTACAAGAGTGACGAATGGTGTATATGTGAGAATATAGATACGTGTTCCCAAATATATATGGATGTGTTCCTGTATAGGGGTAGCCGCGTATGCCTTTGTGTTTACACACCTATCGTTTACGTATGCATGTTTGTGTATCCCTCCCTCCACGGACAGACAGGGAATGCGCACCCGCGTTCTGAGGTGCCAAGTACAGTTAACCCGTCATCCGTGTGATGTCGCGTGCGTATTTTCTTTTCCATGTGCCTCCATTCATGGGGAAGCGCATGAGGACCTGCATGTGCACACATGAACTCGCCAAAACCAAGGTGGAGAGAAGTATATTTTCCCTGTGTGGTATTATAGTCCCCCACCCGTCCATTCACTCACACGTGTATGTAGAATGGTGCACATGTTTATGCGTTTATATACATAATTGTGTGCCATGGACAGAGTTATGTCTGTCCTTATATTTTTATTTTTTTCGTACCTTTGAAGAATTAAAATAAAGGATTATCCATTTACCCCAATTATACACTCATGTCTTTAAAAGATGTCCTTGTTAATTACGAATCGAATTAATACATGTTCCTTTCCTTCGGCCTTTTGAATATTGCCACTTTAAATTATTTGATGCTTTTTAATTTTCCCCCTTTTTTTTTTGTATGCATGCGTTGGTGGGCCGTGGTAGTGGTAGTAGGCGGCGTTTAGTTTACACCGCTTAGCTAGCCGCCTTTTGTCGCCCTTTGTTGCAGTTAGCCAATTGGGAGAATCGACCTGGTGCGAAATGCACTTACAGCTGATGGTGGAGCGAGAAGAGGTCCTAACATGTGTGAAGTTACCAGTTCATTTGTTCCCCTGTATTGGGTGCGTACTTACACAAGTGTTGGCTTCTTTTTTTTTTTTTTTTTTTTTCTTCTACTACCGAGCGTCAAATGCACACCTGTTGATTGCTGGGCGAACCAATGGACGTGCTTACGTAGGGATTAGGTGAGCGCATTTGGGAACGGCCCCGCAGTGGTGAACGCGGGTATGTGTATGCATGCATATGTGTATGTATATATATGTCCTTGCGTGTACATATATCTACCTTGTGCGCCTGCCTGAGGGCTGTGTAAAGGGAAGTCCAGTAGAGAAGCGGTAACCTGTTCCCCCACTAATGTTTTTTTTTATTTTACGAATTCGACATTTTTAAAAGGTGAATTATTTTTTTTCTTAACTTTGCGAACCAGGGCAATTGTCCCTACTTACGCACCTGTTTTAATTTTCCTTCGCAGAAATTGCAAATGTGTGTCTGTTCTCGTGCGTGCTGCTTGTTTGAGGACCTCCCCCTTTTGGGAAAGAGGGTAGGGTACAACTTCAAGTGCGCACTATTGCATAAACCATAATTGTGTATAAAGTTTGTAGAGGAGGGCACCTCACATATTGGTGGGGGGGGAGTCTATATATCCCTTTTGCCACGAAGCGCGATTGTAATGGGCAGACCCACATCGCTGCATCGGTGCATCGCCTTAGCATTGCTAACTTGCTGGGAAGCCCTCCTAAGAACATAAACATATACCTGTACAGGTATATATGTACATTTATACGTGTGTGTGTGTGTGTACACGCACAAATTTTATTTGTCGTTGAACCCCTTCCGATGTTATTTTTTCTCATTAGCAACACTGTTTAGAGATTATTGGTTTGGTGATCAGCGTGACTGATTGTACACTCCACTGCTATGTTGCACAGGTTTTTTTTTTTTTTTTCCCCTCCAATATTTGTTCCTCCTTTAGCCGTGTTCGTATGTGCTGCATTTTCGTAGGCCGTGTAAAAAAAGGCCCATCGAGAATGCATGCATTCGTGTTTGCACAGATTTTACGCAAGCATCCCATACTACTACGTTTTTTTTCGTTTTCATTTTTTTTTTTTTTTTGTAAATGTGACAACCTAGGCGCATTTTTTTGTTGCAAAATGGTAAGACGCTAACAACCCCATTTGTTTAATGTACTTGTCGAAGTATTGCCCTATGGGCGACATTCAGGCAAAATGGAAAAAAATATATATATATATATACCAACGCCATCGTCGTTTTAGCTGTTACGTAAAAATGCAACCTTATGAATACAGTTTGAAAATGTGAAAAAGGTAGATTAAACAAAAAAAAAAAAAAAAAAAGGGAACACCCTCTCACACAAATATCAGTGAAATAGGCGGCTAACCATAACTACATATAAAATGTTCTTTAAATTCTTTTGGCGGGGGGAGCGTACACTGCGCAATGGGCACAGGATATTTGTAGGTGCGAAAAAATGGATTCCCCCCACACAGGAAGGAACGCACTATAAGTGGTGTTGCCTACTGAACAGGCACAGGTGTACATAAAACAAACACAACATATCATGAGGAAAAGAGGGAAATAAATGTGACAAGGAGTTCACAAGAGTTTACTTAAGAGTTACCATTTGTTGTTTTTGTTCTTTTTTTTTTCCCCCTCTACATGTTTCACATGACGCGGGGCGGATTACAACTATATTACATTCATATATATGACAGGTCGATCACCCCCGCCTCCTTCCCTGGGGCAAAAAATAAAGCAAATTTGTACCCTTTATAAAAAAGAAGTTTATATGCATATAGGCAGACCACACGCCGTATTATATATTATATATTTATAGTTGTTACTAAAAAAAAAAAAAGAAGAAGCAGCAACAGAGCAAATGTACAAATGCAGAGGCGTGATACGTTTTTTTTGTTTTTAAAAATATGCCTTACCCAAAAAGGGAAGGCTCACGGAAACAATGCTATACTTTTCCCTCCCATGAAGGTTTGTTTTATCCATATATATGTAATATTATTTGTATGCACAGCATCTCGTACCCGTAAAGCAAAATGCCGCGCGTCGCCCGGGATTAGAGGCAAATCCACCACCCCCGGTGCGCCAATTATATTTAAAAATTTTTCACAATTTTAAGCACAGCATCATACATATTTTTATATATGCTGGGGGAAAAAAATGCATGTTTAAATCTGCACAAGTATACGTTATACATATATAATATTATAACTGTAAATCGCGTAACAGCTGTTGATGGCAGGCAGGGAATTTCCACTGTATTTATATTATATTTATATTATGGTTATGCATATATCTACCCCCACATGTGGTAGGTAGTGGCAACAGTCGGCGCAAAAAAAAATAATTAAACAAAAATAGTTTCCCGCGTTTTTATTTGCGCAAAGGAGATGAAGGGAAAAAAAGAGCCCAAAAAAAAAAAAAAAAGAACATAAAAGGAATTTTTTTTTTTTAATTTAAAAAGCCAAACAACACTCCGCATGGCAGAGCAAGCCATTTTTCATCTCATGTCATCGTTCGTCGACAGGTGAAAAAAGTGAAAAGCAAATTGCGAGCGAAAGGAACATTTGCCTAAAGAGCCAAGCCACGCGTATTTTATTTTGCATACATATATATATAATAATAATACATAGCACAAGTAAAACGCGCAACAGTATATAATTTTATACGTGTAGTTTGATACCCGCGGCCTATGTATCCTTAGCAGAGGTGAGAATTCCCAGCCCTCTTTGTGGTTCCTTCCCTCTTGGTGTTTAGCAGATTTCGCGTTATATTTTGCGGGCCGTGAAACCCAACCCCCAAGTAGGATCCCTGCAAAGTTTTCCTCCATTTATAAAGCATAGTGTACCAAGCTGACTATACCTAGCGGAGAGTACCTAGCAGATTGTACCAAGCAGTGGTGAAAGAATAAAAAAAAGGAAAAAAAAAAAAAAAAAAAGAATATCAAAAATGGGAGCGTACAAGTATATTCAAGAAATATGGAAGAAGAAGCAGTCAGATACGATGCATTTCTTGCTCCGAGTTAGAACTTGGGAGTACAGGTAAGAACAGTTTTCCCCCACCCATAGAAGATGGGAACGCCTTAAAGGCGAGCATGTAGAGAATAGCCTGTAATGTGGTCCTCATTCTTCTACACCGCGTAAATGCTTATTTGCGTGTTAAAAGGCATCCCCTTGGGTAATGTTTGTGGTATGCAAATGAGCATTTATGCGGAAAAGAAAAAAAGGAGGCACTGCCCTGAATATCTTGCCCCTCTTAACGTTGTTTGTTTTTTTTGTTGTTCTTTTCTCATCTTCGCAGGCAACTGCCAGTAGTGCACCGAGTGTCGAGACCGAGCAGGCCCGACAAAGCCAGGCGACTAGGATATAAGGCACTCCAAGGATTCGTTATATATAGAGTACGAGTGAGAAGAGGAGACAGAAAAAAGAGAGTAAGAAAAGGTGTAGTGCACGGAAAGCCAAAACATCAAGGTGTACACAAACAAAAGTCCACAAGAAATTTAAAAAGTGTTGCAGAGGGCAAAGTGGGAAAAAGTATTTGTGGAAACCTCAGGGTTCTAAATAGCTACTGGGTTGGACAGGATGCCGTGTACAAATATTATGAGGTTATTCTTGTAGATCCTATGCACAATGCTGTAAGAAACAATCCCAAAATCAATTGGATTTGTAACCCTGTACATAAGCATAGAGAATTGAGAGGACTCACGTCAGCTGGTAAGAAGTACAGAGGCCTCCGTGTGAAGGGACACTTGTCAGCCAAGAGCAGACCATCCATCAGGGCTAACTGGAAGAGAAGGCAATTAATTAAATTGAAAAAATGTAGATGAGCGATGGGAGGAGTAGTTATGTAGGCGTTGTGTTGAGGGGTGGACAATATTTCAGCGTGTTCGAAGCGAAAAAAAAAAAAAAAAATGAAAGCAGAAACGAGATTTTCCCACCCGAAAGGTATACCCTGGATCAGATGAGTGGTCAAAATGTCAATGACCATGTAAAGAAAAAATTTTCAAACACCCCTCCCTCTCCCCTATCATTAATTAAAAGTTTTTTCAAATTTATTTTATGCGAGAAAAGATATGGGACGGTTGTAGTAAAGCCGACTGACCCCTGCACGCGTGAAACGTGCGCGCTGTGTGTGTGTGTGTGTTGAAGTATATGTGCAAATATATGAACATGCATAGAGCACATGGATCTGTGCATGTTACATATATATATGTGTATACATATGTACAAATGTGTGTAAAGACAATCCCAGCTGTGTTGTATAACCCTCCCCCCTGTGCACACGTGTACGCTGTAGTGTCAGAGAGGCTACCTCCTTTTTGTTACATGTACAAAAACATACCGTACCCTGAATAAAAGACCTTTTTACCAATGCCCCCCCTCTACTCGAAAAATAAAAAAACGATTTTTTAAAAATACCAATATGGGATTGTGCATAATATTGTGCCTCATTCCGCAAAGGGGGAACAGAAGTTGCTGCAATTTTGCGCAAAGATATTAGAACGTCTTCCCAAAGGGTAAAAAAAAAAAAAAATGAAAAGGAAATTTCACAAATGGCAATCCACAAATGGGGACTTTTTTGTTTTGCAAAAATCGGTTAGTCACACCACACCGATGTAAAAAACAGCGGAGCATGCATCCATCATATAGTGCCGTAGCTGCTTTCGTCCATGAAATGCTACTCTCAAGTCGTGTAAGCGGAATGAGGTGGAAGGACTTCATAAAGAAGCCCAATTGGCCGATCTGACTGATCATCATAACGGAGTAGTCACCTCGACTTGTTCACAAAAAAAAAAAAAAAAAAAAAAAATGTGACCCAAATGGGGAGCACGTAAGGGAGTTATAATTCGACTGGGTAATACAGGTGGGCAATCTCGTGGGCAATGTCGTGAGCAATCTGCTGAGCAACGTGGTGGGCGCCCCAAAACGGCTGCGCGAAGTTAATATACACGTATGAAGCATTGATAAGGAACCTTTGCATCATTGGACACCCAGCATGAGGACTGACGAGGGGCATCCTTCTTTTGGGTCAGTCGGCGCAAAAGTGCAAAAGGTACTGCAGCAGGTGGGCGGAGTTCCAAAATAAGGGGCTGTATTTCTTCTTTCGTATGTTGAAAAGACAGAGTATGAATTTTTCAATACTAAAGAATACGTTCATCTCCTTGTAAGGCATATTTTTTTTCGTTTTTAAAAATTCTAGAGATTCATTTACGTCCCACTGGAACCCCGTGTCAGAGTAGGACAGCAGGAGGTAACATAAATCTGTGACGTCATCATAATTGTTCAAATGTGCTCCGGGCTGTATCGTCACTTGATTTGGGTCTACTTCTCCATTCGCATGGGGGCCTGCACCTACCTGTTGCTGTCCACATACAATTGGCTTCCCCCGCCTCAAACGGAGCACAAAGTACACCTTGATGTGTTGCTTTCTTAAAGAGACGCTGGGAATACAAGAAAGCGAATTCGATATATTTGCTTGTCCCTCCTCTGGACGGTGCTTCCCCCGAGTGGTCATGTTCTCTTTATATGTGTATATATCCGTCACGAAAACAGCTTGTTGAGTTTCTTTCGTGGAGCTCATCACTTTTTTTAAAAAAGCTTCACAGGAATACATAGCACTGTAGTCGATATGTTCCGGCATGGTACATTCGTATTTCAAATAAAAGAGGAGGAGCATGAGTTCGAAGTCTTCCAATTGGCTTTTTTTAAAATGGGTTCTTTTTACCACACTTTTTGTGTCACTCTGCTCTATCCTGCAATACGAATTTAAAAACTCATTAAATAAATGAACGGCATTGTACAGGTACTTGTGATACGTTTTAGAATTTATTTTTTCATTCAGCTTGATGAGGAAATCAATTAACTGCTCGTCGGGGGAAGGCAGGTCGTCCCTCTTACCCTCCCTCATATCATCATTCTTATCCCCACGTTTGTCTCCTCCATATTTATAAATGACACTCCTCTCCATATTCATGTCTTTGAAAATGGGGATATTTTTCATGGGGGTGAAAAACAACCCCTTGGCATTGTACTCTAGGAGGACATAAATATATTTGTTCGTTTTATTTTTTTTTAATTTCCTCTTTTGATAATCTTCAAAATTATCTGATGTGTATAGGATGTTTCTTCTGCTCAGTTGTGTAGGTCCATCCTTATTGTCTGAAGCGGAGTCATTTTTTATGTTTTCCTCTCCTTTCAGGTTACCAGTTGATGAGGGCAAATTGGAATTGTATGTTTGATCGTCCTCTCTTGTATCAGATTTATACATTTGCTTTTTTCTCTCTAATTTTATTTGCACAAGGATGAACGCATCCCATGTGAAGTCTTCCATGTTGATCATTTCGAAGTGCTGTTCATATGGGTTTGTACTTGGACACAAGTTAGGGTTCCCCCCACTTTGCCTTCCATATGAACTTCCCCGCCCCGCTTCCCTCCCTGCTTCCCTCCCGGGTTCCCTCCCATTTGGCGTTTCCCTTTTGGTCCTTTTCCCAAACAACAGGTGCACACTGTGTATGTCCGTGTTCAGTTGGTTTTCCCTCAGAGCCTTTACAAATTCGTCCCTATTAGCTACGTTAATTCGTTTATTGAAGAATGGGCTTAGAGCTAGAATGAGAGGGTTCGTCAGATCAACCTGTGGACTTGTCCCTAAACATGAGATGCTTCCCACCCTTTTCTCTGTGACGAGGCATGTAGGGACACCGGCCCCTCCCCAAAAGCCATTTCCCCCAGCAGCGTCACCATCCCAATGACTTTGTAAATGAGCCTCATAATGCTCTATATCAGTAATATCCTTGCACGTCCAACATCTGATTTTTATATTTGTGTAGTCCTTGCCCAAAAAGCTATTGCTCACAGGTGCTAATGTGAACTCCTTTATGTTTTCCCTACACATGGGACAGTATTCGAATTTTTTTAAAACGTTCTCTATGCATTCCTTGCAAAACAGGTGGTCACATTTTGTCTTCACTGGATTGTACAATATCAACATGCATATGGGGCATCTGAAATTATCATAATTTTTATTTTTTTCAATTATTACTATGAATCTTTTTTCTTCTTTTTTTTTCGTTATGGGGAATAGTTTGTTCATGAAAATATCCACCTTGGTCTTTATGTTCCATCTGAGTTGCTGAATGTAATCTGCGTCAATTTGCATTTCACTCAGTGTGGCGATTAGGTTGTTGCTTTGGCTGTTGTCGCCATTGTTCCTGGGGATAGGCTGCTCCAGCTCCTCTGTCATTTGTTCGCGGTGTGTAACGGAATGTTTGCGTGGCCTTGGCGGCTACTACCTTCGTTGACGGTTTGGTCAGTTGTTTATTCGCGATTACGCGACACGAATATCTCACTTTTTACACGCGCGGAAAATCCAATGGAGCGACTGCTTAGCAGGTACACATAGGTGTGAAAAAAATGTGTGCACATATATGTACGCACGTGAGTCACGCAGCGGAGAGACAAAAAAAAAAAAAAAAAAAGTAAGGAGAAAAGCACAGGTGTTAGTCTCAATTTGAGCAACTTCGCCTCACCCTACAATTTAGAGGACCTCAAAAAAAGGAGTAGCAACCTCCGGCAGGAACAAGCGCGGGAAACCAAAAAAAAAAAAAAAAAATATATATATATATTTACATATTATACCCCACACATACGACGTCTTACGCATATCACAATA